ACCAGTGCGGTAAGCAGTACAAAACTGGTGGAAATACCACCAACCTCATGGATCACCTGAAGCGTATTCATCCTGCGATACTAAAAGAGCAACCTCTCGAAAAGGAAAAAAGTTTGACAAAGTTCCTAGAGCGTGACACCCTTTACTCAAATACGTCAGAAAAAAAAAACGCATTGACAAGCTTGTATTAAACATGGTCGCGTCCGATGTCTTGCCATTAAATGTGGTTAATAATGTAGGGTTAACAAGGTTGATTCATGAGCTTGATCCACGTTACAAAATGCCTAATAAGACTAACTTGCGAAACGTACTTTTGAAAAATGAATACAACAATTTAAAAGATACTTTAAAAGCAGATCTAGAGCATATAGAAAGCGTCGCATTGACAACAGATGGCTGGACATCAAGAGCAAAAGAATCATATTTAACAATTACCTGTCATTATGTAACCACATCTTTTGAGCTTGCATCAAAAATTTTGTCAACAAATCAACTAGCTTCCCCTACAAACCATTCAGCTTTTAACATTGCTGAAACTATCAGTAATGTTGTAGCTGAATGGGGCTTACTGGGGGGGAAATGGGGGAAAGTCTTTTGCATAGTTACCGACAATGACGCCACAATGAAAAAAGCATGTGAGCATCTCAAAATCATGCATATTCCTTGTTATGCGCATACCATAAATTTATTGGTACAAGATTTGCTAAAGCTTCCTTGCGTATCTGGGATTCTTTTAAAGTGCAAGCGCACAGTCTCATTTTTTAAATCGAGCAATATAGCATATGCAAAGTTTAAGGAGGAGCAAGGGGTTAGTACGCCCTACAGTCAGTGTTTGAAAAGCTACGCTACTCCCGTAGTTTTTCGTTTTGCTTTTGCTACAGCTGTCACTTTTTTCCAGAGCGGGAGCAGAGCCGTAGCAGAAAAATGAAAATTGACTGCTCTGCTCTGCTCCGAGCTACGAAAAGTTCAAAGCTATTGCTATAGCAACAGCAGAAAAAAATTATTTTGTGCTCCTCGTAGCCAAAAATCTAGAGCGAGAGCAGAGCAGAGTCAAAAATATTTTTTCATGTGCTACTGCTCTAGCTTAGTTTTGTTTTTGTTTTTTCTTCCCTGATTTTTATGCACCGTCACGTCACTGTGTGACCACTTTCTTTACCTCCTTTATTCCTTACCCACTTTCTTTACCCTTGTAAGAATGATAAGAAGAAAACAGATTTGTCACTTGTAATTTGGAATTCAAGGTGCTAATATGTCTCTGACCAATAAATCGTTCAATATTTTCAAATATTTTGAGGAGGGTGACAACGGACTCGTTAAATGCAAAACATGTTTTCGAATGTTAAAAAAAGATCGTTTCTTTTAATTTAAAGAAACATTTAATGTTGCATGACATTCGAACTGAACAAAAAGAAAATGATTCTAGTGGCATGCAGCCAAAAAAAAAAGTTAAACATCAGCAAATTAAAGTTCAAATCAATAAAAAACAATTAATCCGGTCATACATTGGTCTAGTCACCGAGAATAGCGTCCCATTTAATGTGCTAAATTCAGACAATATGCGTAACATAATTGATCCCATATGTCAAGAAAAAAGTGGGAAAAACTTTTCATTAAATGGAACAAAGTGCAAATCAGTTCTTCGACAGGTAGCAGAAAAAATTCGACAAGAAATACATAACGAATGTAAAAATCGGATTCTATCATTAAAATCTATCGGATTCTATCATTGATAGTGCAACGCGACTTGATCGGAATATATTCGGTGTCAGTGCTTAGTTCATTAGTTCAGATGAAATAAAATCGCGAGTTCTTGGAATGGTGGAACTCAGAGGAGCTGGGTCAAGTTCAGCCAAAAATCGTGCCAAGGAGATTCTATCTGTATTAGACAAATACGGAATATCTCTAAGCCAAATCGTGTCAATTACTTCAGATAACGGGGCAAATATGATAAAGACGACGAAAATTTTATCAGAAATGAACTTGAGCAAAGATGACATGGAAGATGCCGGTATTCAAGAGAACGTCGAGTACATTAAGCAAATCGAGCTTTTTGGAAAAACTGAAACTGCGCTTGCAGGTGATATACAAATATGTCGCTGTGCAGCACACACTGGACAGCTTTGTGCACTCGACGTGACGAAAAATGCAAATATTAGAGAATTTTTGTTAATGTGCCGAAATCTTACGAAATACATTCGGAAGCAATCAAATGGTTACCGTGACTTGTTTGAACTGAAAAATTTTAAATTACCTCAATTGGATTGTCCAACTAGATGGGGATCAACCTACAACATGGTTGACCAACTCAGTAAGGCGAAAAGTATTTTAAGCCTTATTGAAACTGTCGAGAACAAATCAAGAGATGACGATTTTATAGTTAATGAAATGTTATGGAAATTTTTGGAGTCGTATGTGACTATTATGGCTCCACTACAAAATACCATAGTGCAGTTTCAAGAGGAGCAACTTCACTATGGGAATTTTTATGCTCCGGATAATAATATCAAATTTTGTCAAAAAGTGCTCCGGATTCAATTATTTATACAATTGGAGAGGCGCTTATTGAAAGTATGGAAACACGGACCAAGAAATTAACATCTAATGTTGGCTTCGAAGCTTGTTTATACATAGACCCAAGATTCCAAGATGTTTATACTTAGACCCAAGAGATAATATTCTGGACAGCTCTCAAAAGGAAAGGGCAGTCAGTTTCTTAAAAACATTGTGGGCACAAATCAAAATGCATAGTCCCATTGCAACAGTGTCATCGTCTACTAGCTCAATTGCGTCAGAGGACAACAATAGTAAAAGTAATTTTGATATTTTGGATGATTTTTTAAGTGTAAGCGTTATGCCAAATGAGTCAACCGATGTACATTGCAAAGATTGAAACATTAAAATTACCGTATATGAAATCCAGTACAAATGTTTTACATTTTTGGAAAGAGAGGAAATCATGCGATGCAGAGCTCTACGAACTAAGCAAAATATGTTTTGCTATACCGCCAACTCAAGTAAGAACTATTACTTAATTCGAAACAATATTTTAATTTCCAAACATTTATAGGTAACCATAGAGCGGGCATTTTCTTCATTAAAACTGGTGCTGTCGGACAACAGAAATCGTTTAGGCCACGACACATTAGAAAATATACTCCTTGTTCGCCTAAACTCAACACATTTGGATAATGCGATCGACAACTTGAGTTTATTTGAAGACGACGATTAATTATTTACTAAATAAATTTTTTAATAGAATAATAAATACATGACTGAATATCATTCTTACAAGGGTAAAGAAAGTGGGTAAGGAATAATGGAGGTAAAGAAAGTGGTCACACAGTGACGGTGCATAAAAATCAGGGAAGAAAAAAACAAAAACAAAACTAAGCTAGAGCAGTAGCACATGAAAAAATATTTTTGACTCTGCTCTGCTCTCGGGGGGGGAGAGAGGGTGTCCGGGTTAACGTCACGGTTTGTGGTCACGGGGGTCTAACCTCTTGTCATGGTTTGTCACGCAGGGGGGGGGGGGGAGGCGGTCAAAAAAGTCTGAAATTCGCGTCACGCAATATATGGACGGTACCCCTTAGGTGTTTTTAGAGCTAGAGAGTTTGGATCTTGCATCATGAGTGCTATCTTTGGCAAAATAATACGACCTAAAAAATTTCATAGTGTCGGCCGACTAATCCTATAGCTGCCATATAACTGAACGATCGGAAATGACGCAACTTTCGTGTTTTTAAAGATAGAAAGTTGGAAAATCGGGTCTCAGGGGATCTCACTTACCAAATTTCATAACGATCGGACGACTATATCTTATAGCTGCCATAAAACTGAACGATTTAGTGTTTAGTATAAATACAAACTTTTGTATTTTTGAAGATAGAAGCATGGGGCCTTTATTTTACATTTTGTTTTGTAATAAATTGGTTATATGTATTATGATATACTCATAATGATCGGCCAACTACATCGGATTTTTGCCATATATATCCGGTTTTAACTGCATTGGTATATAAACTTAAGATCTGCTCGAAGTTAGCTTTCCTTCCTTGTTTATTTAAATTTAAAATCTCCAATTGTGTTGATTTTTTTTTCTGAAATCAGAAGAAAGCTTGGGCACCCCTGGCTTATTGAATGTGTTGTCTCGGCCAAATTGCTTATCCTTACACTAATAGTCGTTGTAGCAGCGTTGAGGTAAAAATAAGGCATAATCCCATGATCTGGATTTACGGGATTTTCTAATTGGTTTTGCATTAGAACAGGGGTGCCCAAGCTCTGCATACGGGAGAGCTCCCTTACCAATGAAAAAAATCATGAATACATTGGTGCGAGAATTTTTTTCCCATCCATGTGGGTGCACTGAAAAATAAATTATAGTAACATTCACAAGGGGTTTAAAAATATCAATATAATAAAAAATACATTTTATTACAGCAATTGTAAAAATGCACTACAATTTTAACAACAGCTTATTCTTTACAGATACAGAGCTTCTTACTTTAAAAAAAATGTTCTGCGAAGAACAAATTTGTCGCTTCAGGTCGACTATTTTGGAAGAAACAAAAACAAGAATGAATTTCTTGCAGTGAAAAGTTTTCGGCACTCCAACAACAAAATGCATTCGGATTAGCACGATTGAGGAGAATAGGGAAATCACGGAAAATTGTTATTGTAATTGCCCTTTGCCTATGCTGGGACCAACAAAGCTTATGGCGTGAGCAACGGAACCTTATGGTTGAGCAGTCACACACAATTCCATATGCATGAGCATTTGCAAAAACAAATGAGCAGCGAAAGAAATGGGATGAGCAACATTCCATTAGAATAAGCTCAGCTACTTACAAACTTTTTGAACACAATTTTTGTTTTTTTTTACGTTTCTGGCGACTATTTTTATAAAGAATAACAGCTTGTAACAGTAATAATAAATACTAAATATATATATAAATTAGTTGATAGCATGTATGTCATTAAATAAATCTTTTTTTTTTACTTACAGGTCCAGTCTGGGGTATAAACTTCGGCAGTGATCGGTCATTTCGCGAATCTTTCTTGTTTTTATTATCTTCCTGAAATTGTTTTCCATTAAAGTCGTTTCCTTTGGAAGCTTCAGATCTAAAACATTTAAAATTCAATAAAATCAATATACTTATTTAAGTCTTATTTAAGTAAACAAAATTTAATTTTAATGATTTTATGGCATCGAAAAATTTGTTTAAGATTCGAGAAATACTGAACCGATCATAATAAAAGGCTTTCAATAAAGTTGTAATTGAAAAAAGGATTTTTATTTTATTATAACTGATTAAAACAAAAAGTTTGTTGTGCTTAAAAAAGTATTTGAACTATCCGAACACTGCAATAGCGTGGAAACTTCTGGAAAAGGGAATTGGAAACCTTGATAGCGTTTTTCTCGAATTGCTTTGAGAATGGACACGCACCAAATATCGAACAATTTTTCAATTTTTCAAAAACTATGCTATAAATTTTTACCATAAATCGAACAATTTTTCATCAAAATTGATGACGTCAAAATTTTAAAATCAGTATTTTCAAAATCCATATATTAATTTCGTACCTGTCGCTCTCCGTATTTATGTCTTGATGTACATAGACCAGTGGTCGGGTCGGCCCTATCCCGAAGGCATAGGAAATTTCTCTGCCCGAGCGCTGCCACACACACACAGCATAAATGTGTGAAACGTCATGCTCACAGCCTACTTTCTGCTATTCGTTACTAATAGTAATGCGTTAAAATCATGTCAATGTATTGGGGTGCCGACCACTGATATCGACCCAAATAACCGAAAAGTACACCAAATTTTTTAAATTTTTTTGTCACCACTGCTCTAACAGTGGTCGGCAGGGCCCTATTTCAGGGGCATAGAATAAGCATTTCTCTGCCCGAGTTCTGCCGAGTTCACACACAATATAAACGTATTCGTTACTAATACTAATGCATTAAAATCATATCAATGTATTGAGTGCGAAACGAATCCACGCCAAATTCAGTAGCTCTATATCTTATAATCTTTGCGATCCACGCAATCATACAGACAGTCGGACATGGCTATATTGACTCGTATCAATATATAATATATATATGTACTTTCACTATGGGCAGGTGATTCCTGACAAAAATGTAAAAACATGTAAATGATGTTACAGACATTATACGAATACCATATACCCTTGGACTTTATATATACCCTTGTACCCCGGGAATAAAAAGGAAGCCTGAAACAATAGTAAAAGTGAAGGATCTGATAAGTAAGGTGAAGGTAAGTGACGCTGAGTGTAGGCAGATCACTTTTTTTTTGTATTTCAACTTTTAGGCACGGCGTTGCCACATAATTTGTATAGCGTTAAGTTGGTTTCGCATCACCAATTTATGCTTTGAGCCGAATTTATTCGGCATTTATTCACACAGCAATCGCATAAAAAAAGAATGAGTTGTAGAAATTTATGAATATGTATATGACAAGAAAGGAAAGCTAACTTCGTGCGGAGCCGAAGTTGATATACCCTTGCAACTAAAACCGGATATATATCACAAACATCGGATACACAATATTTGACCGATCCTTATTAGACCAATAACCCATTCATTACAAAACAAAATCTAAAAAAGTCCCAAACTTCTATCTACAAGAACACCAAAGTTGGTATTTCTATCAAATACTATTTCCGATCGTTCAGTTATATGGCAGCTATAGGATATAGACGGCCGATCCTTATGACATTTTGTAGGTTGGGTCAACTAAACAAAAATAGAATCTGTACGAATTTCCAACTTTCTATCTTCAAAAACGTTGCGTCATTTTCGATCCCGGCCGTTCCGAATTGTATACTTCGTGAAAAGGAAAGAAGGCTGAGTGCAAAGTTTCAAGTCGATAGCTTCAAAACTGAGAGACAGTTCGCTCAGAAACAGATAGACAGACACACGGACAGACGAACATTCTCATATCAACTCAGGAGGTGATCCTGAGCAAGAATATATATACTTTATAGGGTCGGAGATGTCTCCTTCACTGCGCACCCTTTTGGAAAAAAATAAAAAAAACCCTCTGCAAGGGTATAAAAAAATAAAAATTTCTATTCACTTTTATAAAAAATTGTTCCATTAACCAGTAAAAACTATAAAACTGTTCGGAAAACATTTATGTATATGTAGAAACCCCAATATATGTATGTATGTGTAGCTCCTGCTCTGACCACTTCATACCCGAAAGCTTCTCAATTTCGGGAGTGTGCTCCCCCACTGCCAGCGCTACTTCTTCCTACAAGCACCTAAGTCATCCAAATTGCATTGAAAAGTGCATTCGAAATTTTCTATGGCGTCAAACCACTTTTTCTCCACGTGAAATGGAGGGTTCTGGGTACTATTGGCCTCATAGACTTAGAGAAGAGCTTAACGCCCTTAAAAACTACTGCTGCAGCTGTAGGGTTGAAGAGGTTAAAGAAAAAGGGAAGCATCTCTCATCTTCCACTGTTCCGCTTTGCAGACCCTGAGACATTTTTGAGATAAGTGCGATTATCTTAATTATACGTGCGAGTCTAATTTATAGATCCAAACAAGATACAGAAGTTCGCACAAGAAAGGAATATTCTATTTACTGTAACACAATGGATCGAATGCGGTCTATGTGAGTCTAATTAAACTCTAATGCCCTTTTAACCTAACGCAACCCTCCTATGAATGTCTGATGGCATACGATAAAGAGGAATTTGAAACAATTATAATGCAACAATACAACGTTATAGCTCACGAATTATTTCTAGGCATGTTTCAAAACATTTTTTTTTTTCCTTGCAATCCCGAGCGAGGAAATTTGGGTGCGAAAACAGTTTGTAGGACACTTAGGACACTGGATTTTGTCTTTCACGGCGAGGATGCCCAAATCCCGGTGGATGTTTTCGTTGCGAACATACCAAGGTGCACCAGTGATAGTTCTCAACATTTTTGATTGTGCGCGCTGTATGATGTCTATGTTGCTGCTGCTCGAAAGCAGAGGGCATGTTTGTCTATTAAGAGTAAACTTTAAATGTTTACACTTCTGTTCGTTTATCTCAATGCGCTAGTCATACAGCCGACTTTCCATTACTATGGGATGATTTGCGAGTTAGTTTGTTGCTTAGGATGGGCATCTGGAGCGACTGTATCGTCGTCCAACGTTGGCGTTGTTCGTTCGGAGGAATTTCCGCAGTATACAGAACATATAGACAAAAGCCGAGTGCACTTCCTTGTGGTACTCGAGATTCGATGTACATCATCGTCGCTGTAGAGGTAAGATTGTAGAGGTAAGACTTAAGTAGCTTGGCAATTGCGTTTTAATTTTGTGCGTAAGTCCATTAAGCCAAGCTCGGTCGAAGCTTGAGATACGTCATGAAAAATTGCGCTACAGTATTCTCGCAATACGTATTTCGATTTTTAATCTGTTTACTTGCTCGATGGTTCCATGGTTTCTTCGGAAGCCAAATTGGTGGATAATATTGGTGGTGGATTGGATAATATTGCAAGCTTCCAGATAAGGGTAGTATTATGCTAGTTAACAAGCATTTCTCCAAAAATTTAGACAAACAAGATAGAAGGCTTATCTATATGAGCCTTATCTGTCGGGTCTATACGATGTCGGCATTGTGTGGTCCTTTCCAGGCTTCAGTATCATTATGATAATGGATTTTTTCCTCTTTTTTGGGAAATAGCCAAGATAAATGGTTAACATCAATAGGTCACCACCGAAAGTTTTTATTATTAGTACTTTTTGTATTTAAGCCACTTCGTTTTTGGCGACGTCAGGCTGAAGGGGTGTTCGATTCTGGGCTTTAAAGAAGCGTAAATATCACATGAGAGTGGTCTGATGATAAGTCCGAGTCTACTTAGGTACTTATTAAATTACGAGGTATTTTTTTGTCACTGCAAAATGAGTTTTTTGAGTTTGTTGGCCAGTACGTGGGCCTTCTAGGGGAAACATTATGTAGATTATTTTTCACATTTATAATAGCACTGTTCGGCAATTACAGGAAGGCGATTGTCTTTCTCTGGGAGTGACTAGTCGTAAGTTTGGCCTTGTAGTCTCCTGCTACAAAAACGGTCCCCAAGTGAATTAAAGAAGTCCATAATTGTCCTTCCGAGAGTGAGAAGCGAGGGGGGTAGTAAACGGCAGCAATTGAAAAGGTCCTTTCCTTTCGTAAAGGAAAATTGGGATGTGATTGGCGTTCCACATTGATATTTTTAGAGTATGCATACATTATTTGGACTGTTGTGCTACCTCAGGGAAATAAGTATATGTACATTGATATTTTTAACAAAAAAACGATTTAAACAAAACAAATCAATCCAACTTTTATTGGGGTATGTAGTACTCCTATAAAATAATAATAACAAACCTTTTATTTTCATAAACTTATTAAAGAACTGAATTAATTAATAATAGTTCATAGGAAATAAGTATATATACATTTTCAGTAATTACTATAATATCAATATCTATGTAAGTATTTTTTATCTTTTTAGTTATTTTAATAGTTTATATGCTTTCCTTTTGCTATTATAACTTTGTTAAGGCGATCCGGCATAGAATCCAACAATCCTTTCAGAATATTATCATTAATTTGATCCCATTCAACAACCAGAGCGTCTTTCAGTTGTTTGATGGTGTCAAATTGTCGGCCATTTTTATAAACTCTGGCGGAAAGGATGCCCCAGAGATCCTCAATAGGATTTAAGTCGGGGCTTATGGCTGGCCACTCTAAAAGTGGAATTTTTCTTGACGAAAAAAACTCCTTTGTGGTCCGTGCAGTGTGGATTGGTGCGTTGTCTTGCTGGAAAGTCCAATTATCCCCGTAAAGGTTCCCAGCGAACTCGATAAGGACATCGTCCAACAATTGAGTATATATCTCCGCATTTGTTCTTGTAGGAATAAAACAAATTGGAGACCTTCCCGCATACCCGAAAGCAGCCCAAACCATCAAGGAGCCTCCGCCATGGTTTCACTTATGCCGGGTTTGCCTTGGTTGCCTTATGTCGCGCCAATACTTCTGACATCCATCTGGACCATCTAAATTAAACTTTTTTTCGTCCGAAAAAATTACTTCGCGAAATTCCTTTGTCCAAAATTTATATTTTTCCGCGAAGGATAATCGTGCGCTTAGATGGCGTGGTAGCAGCTTAGGTACAGGCACTCGGGTACTATATTTAATGTTATTATTTTTAACTAAAAGTTGATGGACCCGTCTCCTAGTGACATTAAGATGTAAATGACGTTTAATCTCGTTGCACGACATTTGTTTGTTTACAGCTAGGCGCTGAATTTCGCGTTTGCACCTAGGGTCGATGCTACTAGGTCTGCCAGAGCGTTTTATTGTACCATATTTTTTCGGGTTTTTTAAAAAGTTTCTAATGGTATGTCGGTGTCGAGAAACTCTAGCAGCTATTTCGGAAATTTTACATCCGTTTTCCGTATATTTAAATTTTTCACACAAACACCAATCAACTTACATTTGTTGGTTTGCAAATAAGCTCTTCTCTTAAAAAAATCAATTCCGTACTAATTTGCTGACCAAAAGACTTCCACTCTTTATTCAAACCACGCTAGTTTATTTTTGTACATATACTTATTTCCTAAGAAAACCTTCTGGCGCCACAGAATAAAGTGATAACGGTACTAAGAATGATGACCGAAAACAAATTTCGTAGAAGCATTCTATAAATAGATTGCAACTGGACATAATTGCGTACCAAGATTAAATGCGCAATGACAATAAGTAAAAATTAAGTCAATAATATTTTTGTACATATACTTATTTTCCTGAGGTACAAGCAACTGTATTACGATGTTCTGGTTTTGAACAAGTGCTTGCAATGTCGTTTTCATGAATGACATTAGCTCCATCATGCTTTGTAAAGGGGTAAAAACTATAGTTTCCATTTTGCTATGTGGCGGTTCTGGAACCGGTTGAGCGCTTTGTAAAGTAAGCTGAATTGGATTTTCCATCCCAGATCGAGGAGAATCGGCTTAAGAGAAGCCGGTAGTGGTGTTTAGAAGACCGAATGACGACCTCGCAGCTGTGGCAAAAAATACGTCTGGCACAGTTTTTGATGCATAGGTCTCTTCAACTCCTTGTACACCAATCATCCTCCATAGTTTTCCGTATGATTGCTTCCGCAGTTTCCACATTTCTTTACGGTACTTTCCTTGTTTGTAGTGCAGTTCTTTGCACTTATCGTTGCGTTTATGTGGCTCTTCCATAGTGATTCTCCGATGCAACAGATATTGCAGCTTGTAAATTGGTTGGACTTCGTTATCTTTCAGCGATCTGCTTTCTGGCTCGAGTTTGACCTTGAAGAGGGGTTGTGACTTTTGTCTTAGTTTAGAATATTAATAACAGCGAAGCGGCGAAGACCTTTTCTTTTAGGGCGGTTGTTATTTCCACAATGGTAACGTCGATTAAAGGCCCTTGCTGCTTTTCAGCTGGTATGTGTTCCAGGTTTTTTTTTAGCATTGTCCATTGTCAGAAGTGCTCTTCTGGGTTTTTTTCCCGGTGTCTTGCGCTGGTTGGTTTTCCTCAACCTCCGCCTCACTGCCTGTGATGACTGCAGAAGCGTCCCTGTTTCTAATAACCCCGAAAAGTGTGCAATAACACTTCGTATAAGCTTTTGTCCCGGGCTATTCCGAAGCGGTCGAGCACAAATACCTGGACATTACTTTTGATAGGCGCTTTACTTTTGGGTCCCACACCAAATATGTTGTTGCCAGTGTGAAAGACAAGTTGCGACACCCTTTTTGGCTAAGGATTCTAGAAAATTGTCCCTCCAGTTACAATTTATAAAATGACTTTGGCCCCGATATGGAATTTATAGACTGGCAATAAAAGGTGTAGCTGCAGAAACGCACTTAAACAAGGTTCGAGTGTTTCAGCATATGTATGTTTCTCCGCCGAAGAATAAGAACTAAAATATATTTAATTCTAAAATTGTCTAACTTATTATACCCTTGCAGAGGGTATGATAATTTTGGTCAAAATCATGCACCACAGTGAAGGAGACATCTCCCACCTTATAAAGTATATATATTCTTGATGAGGATCACCTCCTGAATTAATATGACCCTGAACGTCAGTCCGTCAAATTTCATAACGATCGGTCGACTATATCCTATAGCTGCCATATAACTGAACGATCGGAAATAGTATTTGGTAGACATATTAACTTTCGTATATTTGAAGATAGAAGCTTGGGACTTTTTTTACATTTTTTATTTTAGTTTATTGGTTTTATTATGATCTAATCATAAGGATCGGCCAACTGTATCCGATGTTTGCGATATATATCCGGTTTTAACTGCAAGGGTATATCAACTTCGGCTACGCCCGAAGTTAGCTTTCCTTTCTTGTTTTTAGTCTCATTTTCTCATTTTAAGAAAAGATCCGAAACACAAACTATCGACTAATTAGTTTGAACCCATGGTGATCCCATGTTTAAGTTATGAAATAAAACAATTTGTACCCTTTTTTATATACCTAAATATAAAAAGCTGACAAGCTTGTAAAACTTTCTTTTAACAGCCAACAAAAAAAATAGTAAAATATATTACCTGTCTAAGGAATCACGAGGTTGATTCGACTTGGTATAAGTCATTTCATCACGGCGTTTTCCATCTGAAATGTGTGATAAACAAATAAACAAATATTTAATAGCACATTTATGATTTCGTAATCCCTAATGTTATGCTAAATAATGATGCTATCCCAAACTAATTTTTATATTGACAATGGAATATTTAAATGTTCCAATTTAAACTAACATGGGATATGATTCAATGGTCACCGTACTCAAATTTTAAACTTTAGAGATACAATTTTGAAACAATTTTAATATAATTGTAATCATCATTTTTGGTTTTTTGTTAAAAAATATTGCTTTATTGATGATATCGCGATAACTCCTATAACTCCTCAGATTATGTATACAAGTACCATTTAGTGCCATGATTTTTTTCACCATCAGCCTTCTTACCATTAAAATTTGGAAAAAACTAAATATAAAGATTTTTTTATATGAAAAGATGCGTGATCCCAAAGTTTCAGACTATTTTTTCAATTAAAATTTAAAAATGTACTTCAATAACCAAACACCCCTTTAGCCTGACGTCGCCAAAAACTAACTGGCTTAAATACAAAAAAAACACGATAGTGCCCACATCGAACTCGCCCCGGAGCCTAATATGGAATCGGACATCGACTACTCTACGAGCTACACTAGGAAGAAGTACTCGTTGCGGCAGCTAAAATCTCTACACCTCAAGAGGCGCACGCCTCGTGATTGGCAAAACAGCAGATCACCAACTTTAATGCAACGCCTTAGAGGGCACCCCGATCACCTGACTAAGCTTTTCACCAACAGGAGGAAGATGCTGAGGTACATCTAGAAGCTTTTGTGGAGGAAAGATGTTGATCGACTTATAAACTATTCTGTTTACAGAATACTGTAAACGGTCGTCTGTAAACTATTTTTGGACGTTTGGACTATTTTTGCAATATAGTCCCAGGCACACCAATTTGGCTTTCGAAGAAACCATGGAACCATCGGACAAGTGAACAGTTAACATTCGAAATGCGCTCAGCTTTCGAACAGCGAGAATACGGTAGCGCTGTTTTTATCGACGTATCTCAAGCTTTCGACCTTGGCTTAATAGACTCATACACAAAACGCCATTTCCAACATACAACCACATGCTTCTTGAGTCGTACCTCTACAACAGGGTATTCTCAGTGAGATGCAACGCAGCTACTTTGGGCGACTACATCATCGAAGCTGAAGTTCCACAAGGAAGCGCATCGGCTCTTGCCTATATGTTCTGTATACTGTGGATATTCCTACGAACGAACAACTAAGAATATCAACGTTCGTCGACGATACTCGATACTCGACGAACTCGCTGTCCGACTGACCCATTAAGGGGTTATATACAGTTGTACCGCGCAAAAATATGGAATTTTATCGATTTTTTTTTGACACCATAGAAAATATTTATGAAAAATGTTTTACCGACGTTGTTTAGTACATGTTTCTGGGTACTTAATTAAATTTTTTCATAAAAAAATATTACATAACAAAAATGTTATAGTCGAATTCCCGGATCGTCTCTTTTCGATGGTGTCTTGCGGTGGACATGATTTCTCGAAAACGGTTCATCCGAAATCCAAAATTCAAAAAAGTTTAGTTAGTATATTGTATTGTCTAGTCCGTGAACGAGGGATTTTTAAAAATTTTGATTAAAAAAAAAATGGCGACGTTTTTAACAAAAAATGTACTTTTTCAAGGTATAAGATTTCCGTTTTTTGTGCTTTAAAAAAGGAGTTTTCAAAAAAATTGAAAATTCACGGACTAGCTAATATCATAATAAATAAGTGGTCAAAATTTGGTGTTGATCGGATTAGTAGTTTTTTAGTAATCATGTCCACCGCAAAGGTAATTTCCCAAAAAAAAGATTCTGAGATAATCGCGTTTAAAGTTTCCAGTTTGTTCAAGTATTATATGCAGATAGTGCGCTATAAATAGCTACAGCTTCGGTTCTAATGCTCCGATCGTTATGAATTTTTGTGAGAGTATTCCCAATAGAATATACTTAAAGAATATGCAATAAAAAAAAAAATCGATTTTTTCATATATCACAACTGTATATAACCCCTTAAAATAAACGAACAAAAGTGTAAACATATAACGTTTACTCTTAGTAGACAATCATGACCGCCGCTATTACTAAACGGTATGCAGATCCTTTAAGCTAACGAAGTAACGTACCTTAGCATCCACCTTGATAGACGACTAACCTGGCGTAAGAACTAGAGGTGGAGAACTATCGATGGCGCTACCGAAACTATCGATGGTTGTCCGCTATCGAGCCGCAATCGATAGTGTCAGACACGTTCGTTAGTGACCCAACCACTATCGATGGTGCCTTCGATAACTGGCATCTCACATCGCTAAAATAACTCAACTCGCGCTTGTGAAAAAATTCAAAAATTTTGTATAAAATTGACGGTAATTAAAAGGGAACTAATAAATATTGAACGCTTTTTTTTTTTAAAGCGTAAGGTATGGTTAATTTATTCTACATAAGTATTTTGATGGATAATGTGGCAAATTTAAGGTACACGTCGGAGATCCGAAATGCCTATTGCGCCAAGCAAGCAACCCAAGCAAGACTGCGATTGCACCAGCACAGACTCTGAAAAAGATTATTAGAGTATTATTATTAGAGATTATTAAATACAGAGTATTATTTCAAAAAGTCCGACGACCAATAACTTGCCAAATGCCTTGACTGTTGAAAGGAATATAAAACAAGCGGCAATACTTCAAACTTGCGCGACCATTTAAAAGGTTTCATCCTAGCTTGGAAATAAATAAATCCGACTCTAGTAAACCAGCTGTGGTGTACACCAGCTGTCTAGTACAGACAGCAATGAGACTGCAAGCAGCAGTTGCAGATCAAGTATGAATGTGGCTTCCTACTTCAAAAGAGCTGTCTTGTACGAGGCGAATTCCAAGCGAAAGACCGACATCGACAAAGCATTAACAGAAATGGTTGCCAAGGATGTACAGCCGTACAAAATTGTCGAAAACGAAGGTTTTATTAAATACACTCAGGTATTGGATGCTCATTATAAATTGCCAAGAAAGAGACACTTGCGTGATGTGCTTATGTCTAATCTGTACAAGGAAACCTCTTTGAGCCAAATTGTCCTTGATACTTCACTGGTGTACATGTGAAATGCTGCAAATTCGAAATTTGCCATGCTTTGCGCACACAATCAACTTAGTTGTGCAAGATGCATTAAAAGTTGATGACGCAGTAATAAATAATTTTTTTACTAAGTGCAAAGCACGATTGCTAACTAAAAATTTAAATTAGCACAAGAAGGCACGAGTTATACTTTGCTGCAAAAAAAAAAAGAGAATTTTAAAAACAAACGATGATATTGCCAAAGTCCTATTAGGAACAACAAATGCACCTCAGCCATTTTCTGCTGAGGAAATACTTGTGCTAAAGGATATAGAGAAAATGTTGTCTTTCTTCCAGCAACCAGTGAAAAAATTTCTGGTGGAAAGTATGTAACCATATCACTAATAATCCCCATGGTATATGGACTTTTCCGCAAAATCGAAAGTGTTTCACCCCTGCTAAACACTTTGCAAGGAAAAACTTTCCAAAATATATTAATGGAATCAATAAAGAAATGCCTTTCCATTTATGAGAACAGGACAGGACGTTATTGAACCCACGTGTTAATAAAAATGGGTTTCAACACGCTTCAAACGCTGAACAAGCAGCAGTCTTTTTGAAAACGAACTGGCAAATTCTTTAATCAAAGAGACTTCAAATAATCTGACCATTTCACCGGACAAAAGTGTCCAGGACTCATTATTTGATTTTTTGGGTGAGCGATTAAATAGCAAAATCGGAAACGCACGAGTGGATGCTATCCTTATTAAAAGGCAATATCTGGAAAGGGCGATTGCCAGTCAAGACTATCGGTGACTATCGAGTATCGAGTGATTATCGATGGCACTATCGACACTATCGAGGGTTTAAGAAAAACCATCGCCGGCTATCGATGGCGCCGACTATCGATAGTTCTCCACCTCTAGTAAGAACATCGAATGCAAGAAGTTGCACCTAAAAATAAAGCTAGCAGCCTCCACTGGATCATAAACTCACGATCGCCACTGTACCTGGACTACAAGGTACTACTCTTAAATTTAGTTCTAAAGTCAATCTCAACGGATGGCTCCCAGCAGTGGGAGAAAGCGAGCAGCAGCAACATAACCATAGACAGTATACAGCGCGCACAATCAAAAATTTTGAGAACTATTTCTGGGGCACCTTGGTATGTTGGTAACGGAAACATCCACCAGGATCTGAGCATCCTCGCAGTGAAAGACAAAATCCAGAAGCAAAATGTGTTCTACAAAGAGAAACTGTCTTCGCACTCAAATTTCCACGCTCAGGGATTGACTCTGGTTTCCAACGGATCCCATCTGCGACGCAACGACCTCCCAAGCCTGCAATCCATTTTTAGGGCCGTCAAACACTGTATCAGTCAATATGACTGTTAGTTAAGTTTAAAAGATATGATATACCTATTGGTAGTCTCGGAAAGAGAAGATTGAAAAAAAGGCAAGGTTAATAGAAAAAAAAAAACAAAAATAAAAAATTTGACAAGGATTTGGACAACTTCCATGTTAAAAACTAATTTCTTTAAAAGCTTGGTTCAGTAAATCATTACAATTTTTATCTACATGAATTTTTGAAAAAATAATATTCAAAGCTCCTAATTATTAAAAAAAAAAAATTCAAAAGAACTTTAACAACTCTAACACAAATTTAATAAAATGTTTTTGGACTTTTTCTTAAATACAAAATCCAAAAACATGACATGATTTAATTTCAATAAGAATTTAAAAATTTTCCAAAGAATGATTTATAGAAGCTTCATACTCAATTTCTCAAATTTTAGCTAGTGAAAAAATCATGGTACTAGTACTAAAAAATCTTCCAGAGAAAAATTCGTTTTTATGATTTTTTGCCAAATTTAATCATGATACTAAGTTATACCTGTACACATGGTCTGAGGAGATATACCGTCAAATATCTAAAAAAAATTTAATAAATATCGCAAAATCGTAAATTAAGGGGGGACATCTAAGTAACAGGTGGAAAAAAAACGGATTTTCTGGAATTTTTTTTTTGGCCAAATGAAAAAGTCTATCGAAAATTTGTAAATTAGGTTTTATAATATTAAATGCGAAGTACAAAATCAATTTTTTTTTTTGAATAAATCGAAAACAAAATTTCGGCTCTGTATCATTTTTTTGTAGGCCCTTTTTTTTAATGGGGTCCATGGCCCGACAGTTAACGTCCTTAATTTTTTATGTACCATAGAACAGAGGTCGGCACGGCCCTATCCCGAGGGCATAGGAAATTTCTCTGCCCGAGCTCTGCCACACACACACAGTGTAAATGTGTGAAACGTCATGCTCACAGCCTACTTTCTGCTATTCGGAACTAACACTAATGCGTTAAAATCATATCAATGTATTGGGGTGCCGACCAATAAATTAAGTTTCTTTATTTTCTATACATCAACAGCTATCGACACACGTAGGATTTTTCCGATATATTGATTTTTGTCAAAATGGTGAGTGATTAAAAAAAAGTGATTAAATTAAATCGGTCTTTTAATGAGGGTCTCTGCGAACGTCAATCATATGTCTCAGTGAGTAATGTTCAGTAGGCGAGCATTTTACGAATCTCTCAACGTAAAACACTAAACCGAAAACCAAAATCAAAAGAAAGTAAGTCTCCTGCTCTGAGAGAGAGTGGTTGTCAAAATTTTTTTCGGTTGTTCTCATAAACTGAATATAAGGAAAAAATATACGGGAAGCAATATCCATATGCTCTATCTGTCAACGACTTCGTGAATAGCGAAATCAAAAGAATGTTATCAGAAAAAAAAAGAAAGCAAAGCTAACTTCGGGCGGAGCCGAAGTTTATATACCCTTGCAGTTAAAACCGGATATATATCGCAAACATCGGATATAGTTGGCCGTTCCTTATGATTACATCATATTAAAACTAATTAACTAAAATAAAAAATCTAAAAAAAGTCCCAAACTTCTATCTTCAAAAATACGAAAGTTGATATTTCTACCAAGTACCATTTCCGATCGTTCAGTTATATGGCAGCTATAGGATATAGTCGGCCGATCCTAATGAAATTTGGTAGGTTTGATCAACTGGCCAAAAATAGAATCTGTATTAAGTTTCAGCTTTCTATCTTTAAAAACACGAAAGTTGGGTCATTTCCGATCGTTCAGTTATATGGCAGCTATAAGATATAGTCGGCCGATCCTTATGAAATTTGGCATGTCGTAATAGTTTGCCAAAAATAGCTCTCTTGTCAAATTTGAACTCTCTAACTCTAAAAACACCAAAGTTATACCATTTCCGATCAATCAGTTATATGGCAGCTATATGATATAGTCGGCCGATCTGGGCCGTTCCGACTTATATACTGCGTGCAAAGGAAAGAAGGGTGTGTGCAAAGTTTCAAGACGATAGCTTCAAAACTGAGAGACTAGTTCGCGTAGAAACGGACAGACAGACAGACGGACAGACAGACGGACATGCTCATATCAACTCAGGAGGTGATCCTGATCAAGAATATATATACTTTATAGGGTCGGAGATGTCTCCTTCACTGCGTTGCACACTTTTGGACAAAATTATAATACCCTCTGCAAGGGTATAAATTAAAAAACAAGAAAGGAATGCTAACTTCGGGCGGAGCCGAAGTTTATATACCCTTGCAGTTAAAACCGGATATATATCGCAAACATCGGATATAGTTGGCCGATCCTTATGGGAATAGGAATATATAATCCAATTTATTACAATACAAAATCTAAAAAAAGTCCCAAACTTCTATCTTCAAAAATACGAAAGTTGATATTTCTACCAAATACCATTTCCGATCGTTCAGTTATATGGCAGCTATAGGATATAGTCGGCCGATCCTAATGAAATTTGGTAGGTCGGATCAACTGACCAAATATATAATCTGTACCAAGTTCCAGCTTTCTATCTTCAAAAACACGAAAGTTGGGTCATTTCCGATCGTTCAGTTATATGGCAGCTATAGGATATAGTCGGCCGATCCTTACGAAATTTGGCATGTCGTATTATTTTGCCAAAAATAGCTCTCATGTCAAATTTGAACTCTCTAACTCTAAAAACACCAAAGTTATACCATTTCCGATCAATCAGTTATATGGCAGCTATATGATATAGTCGGCCGATCCGGGCCGTTCCGACTTATATACTGCGTGCAAAGGAAAGAAGGGTGTGTGCAAAGTTTCAGGTCGATAGCTTTAAAACTGAGAGACTAGTTTGCGTAGAAACAGACAGACGGACAGACAGACGGACAGACGGACAGACGGACATGCTTATATCAACTCAGGAGGTGATCCTGATCAAGAATATATATACTTTATAGGGTCGGAGATGTCTCCTTCACTGCGTTGCACACTTTTGACCAAAATTATAATACCCTCTGCAAGGGTATAAAAAAAAGGTTTACAGTTATTTGCGAGCTATTGTAGTTTCTGATTTTAATTTTTTCGCTCAGAGTATGATCATTATTTTTGTTGTTTATTTTTTCGCTTAGAGATTATTCTCTCTTATATAGTGATTTTTATACCCTTGAAGAGGGTATTATAATTTTAATATATAACTCCGACCCTATAAAGTATATATATTCTTGATCAGGATCACCTCCTGAGTTGATATAAGCATGTCCGTTTGTCCTTCTGTCTGTTTTTACGCAATGTAGCCTCTCAGTTTTAAAGTTATGTTCTTGAAACTTTTCACAAGCGCTTCTTTCATTTCACGCAGTATATAATCAGAACGGCCGTGTTCGACCGACTTAATCCTATAGTTGCCATATAACTCTGAAAATAATCGGAAATGACTCAACTTTGGTATTTTGATAATAGAAGCTTGGGACTTTTTTTTAATAATAAGAATCTTTAGTCTATAAGATCGGCCAACTATATCCGATATTTGCGATTTATGTCTGATCTGAACTGCAAGGGTGTATCAACTTGGGCTTTGCTTGAAGGTACTTTCCTTTCTTGTTAGTTCTGATTTTTGTGGTTGCTGCAAATTGGTTGCATCGTGTGTACCTAGCTTTATGAAATTTTTCAGGTCGGATCAACTGACCAAAAATAGAATCTATACAAAGTTCCAAGTTTCTACTTCTACTCTACTTGTATCACATATCACATCAGGAATATTTAGAATTTTGTAGGTTTGTAGAATGTGCATGCAGATGCCTGTATCTTATAAATAAAATATTTACCCTGAATCTGTTTGATTTTTAAATCATCCTTTTTATCTTGGTTTTGACGCCAGTTCACTGCTGCATTAACATTTTCATTCTCATTTTTGTCCATTTGGATATCGTCGAATTTCTCACAAAGGTTTTCCTCTTGGCGATTTTTATCTTGTCGTCGTGCTACAGCTAAACGTTCTTCAATCTCCAGTTCTCTAGATGCTGTATCAACTGGTTTAGCACAGCCAAAAACATTTAAGGATGGAGTTCCACTGTTTTTAGTGTCATTTTTATCATTGACATTGATTTTCTCCAATTTAGAACTTCCTATTTCAGGTAATGGTAAAGTTCGCGGTTTTAAATTTAGTTTTGGTCTTTCCTCAAAATTGGGAATGTCTTCTCGAGCATAGCGGTCTCCTATTCTTCCTCGATAATTTTCTAGTGGTTCATCTCTACGAATAGGCGACGAATCGAAAGTTTGCGACCTAGCATTTGTGCGCCACGATCCTGGTGTGTTATCTTCTTTTTCGTTAACAGATTTTCTGTCCCTGTTAAAGTTTCGTTCAAAATTTCCACTATTATTTTGACTATCTCTTCTCCAATTTCCAGAGTCTCTGTTCTCACCGCTATTTCCAAAACCATCAAAACGCCTATTGCTTTTTTGACGATTTTGTTGGTCGTTTTCGTTTGAAAGTTCTATTCGAATTCGACGACCTTTAATAGATGGATCTGGTAAACTAAGTACATGAATTAAATCATCCCGCGTTTCTAATTCCACGTAACCAAATCCACGTGATCGACCATTTTCGCCGTCTTCTCGTGGTAATCTTAATGAAATCAAATGAATTCCGGAGAAGAATTCATATAAATCGACTTCATTTGCATCAAATGGCAAGTTATTAATATATGCAATGAATGGGGGTTTATGAGGAATGGAATTGTCATCAAATATTCGGTTGGCCCGGGGAGCAGTAGGCAGCTGATAAACCAAAGGTAAGGTGCAACTTCCATCGTCGCTGTCTTCACCGTCCAAATTTCTTATTTTTTTTGAAACTTGCGTAGTTCCGGCTGGAGCATCAGTATTGGAAAGGAAGGATTGCAATGATATTACAGTTCCTTTGTTCTTTTTGCCTTTTTTACCTAAAAGTTAAGAGAAAAAAAATTAAAAAGTTTGATGGCGTATAATTAAATACACATATATGTAGAAAAATAGTTGTGTATTTTCATATACATATACATATATGTATGTACATTTTATATATGTACATAGTATATGCACGTATGTTCTTATTACGTGTCGAAAATAAAACCATGAGGCTTTTTCAAATTATCCCTTTCGAATTGTCTTTCACATAGTCAGTTTAATTTAACTTTTTTTACTTTCTATGTATTCAAAACAAATATTTTCTTACCTGTAGAAGACATTTTTCCAAGTTTTCCAAACTAAAATTTAGTCGTTTTAACGTATGGTGTGTACATAAAGAGGTTAATTTCCTAATAACATCGAAATTATGTTTTGGGAGTATGCACACTGTATGATTTTTGCCTAGTACAATTTTAATATGTATATTAGGGATTTGTACACTAAATCGATATGCTTTTAATTTATTTGGAATTCACACACTTCATGTGAAGATATATATGTCATTAATTCTTGGTTTTAAAGATTCTAGGCTTAGGTTTTTTCTAGGATTTCTAGGGTTTTTATATTTGGAATACAGCCAAGTCGTCCGATTTTTAGAAGAACAATAAACATTTTAAAATAAAAATTCGTTGTATAGCGTCTGCTTGGAAAATATTTTTAAATTTCTGCGTTGAAGTCTTTTGAATTACATCTTACTGCGACTTTTATCTCGTCTCGTCTGCGCCGCAGAGATAAAGTCTAGGAAAGTAGGGGCGGACTCTCATTATTCACACCACTCGTGCATAGGGTCGAAAATTCTGCCGCAGCGCCACAGAGAAAAATGGGAGCAAAGACTCCCATTTTGCCTCATTTGACAGCCCAAACCTAAAAAACCAAATGTTTCCACTAAGAAAAATTTTCTCAGAGATTGGGTTGCAAATAGCAAAATATAGATTGGGAAGCGTAGTTTTTCATTTGTTTAAGTAGTGTTGCTAGAAAACCTTTCTTTAAAATAATATACACTTTTTTAGTGCCTATTCCAACTTTTGAATTAACGAAAAATGAAATAAAAAAATTTACGATTTTTTCGCTAATGTGATTAGAGCTCCGCTTCATTGTTTTTTGCTGCTACGCATACACTCAAATTTTGTTCCCCACTGCTCTAATATTTTCAACATGTTAAAATTTAAACAATGAAGTTATAACGCAGTGAAGTAGTGCAATTCTGATAAACTCGGTTATTATAAATTAAAAAAAACGAAAAGCATTTAGATTTGTGTATATGTATGTAGGTATGATAAATAAATATTTTCTCTGTATTTTTATATGATAAATAAAAAACGTACCATTTTTTTTAGTACATAAGGCGATACCTAAGTACATAAGGCTTTCTGCTTGGGGAAATTTTAAACCCAAACGACTAGGAGGATTCCTCATTCATTTAATAATTTTTCCCAAAACAAGTCAGTGCAGCTTTACTAGCGCTTGGGAGTAACAGTGTGTACATGAACGGAATAAGCGCCATGGAAGGGCACACTATTGCACCGGAACGCTAGCAAGATTGCACTGACTTGTTTTGGGAAAAGCGTAAAACTTCAACAATTTTAATTTTTTAGTGAAATTGGTCTCGTTTTATTCAGGTCAGGAAATTGGTCTCGTTTTATTTTTACTACCATTTAAAAATGATACCATTTCTTGTAAGTTGTACCGAAAAAATGGCGTCAAAGTCCGAAAAACACGCAAAAAATCAAAAATTTAAGTTTATTGTGTAAATTATGTATCCTTTTTGTTTAAATAAATTGAAGAGTTTTTTTTTTCAAAAGCTATAATTTTTAACTATTGAAAAACGTCGGAAATTTTAAAATCGGCGTAAAATTACGCGTTTAGGAATTTTTGAAGAGCAAAAAAGTCTCGAAAAACCGTTTTCCGTTCAACGATCCGTTCAACCGTTCAACGAGATTGATTTATCTCACACTTTTGAAAATAATAAAAAAAGGTGGCTAAATATTTAAAAAAATGCAAAAAAAAAAAAACGATAACGAAAAAAATGGTCGTGCCTCATCAACGTTATAATTTCGAATGTATTTTTCTCTAATCTTAAGCCTAACTTATCTATTGCGGCGAAGCGGGGCGAATTTGCACAAGAGCGAATATGAGCTTTCGCTCCCGCTCCGCCCTAAGCTATCTCAGAGTAAATTTAGAGAATAACAACTACAAAATACAATTCAACTATAAATATAACTATAAACTATACTTCAAATTTTCGACAACTTTAATATTATGACAAATCATTTAACATCGGCCCCGTTGAAGGCCTCCATCAGGCTTCAACCAACTGGCAGACGCGCCAGCTTGTGGACCGCTCTCCTGTACTCCGCTCCAGAGTTAGTTCTGACGGCGTGTATTGCTCCTACTCGTACTGTGAGCCACTGTTGTGGCGGCTGGTGATCCTCTGCGATCAGGACCAGCTCGCCCGTCCGGATGTCGTCCTCCTTGTTCTGCTACTTCGACCGCGCCTGTAGGCCCAAGACGTACTCCCGGGACCATCGCTGCCAAAACATTTGCTTGATTGACGAGACAAGCCGCCATTGCGGCAAGCACGTTAGACCCTGCTGGTCCTGCTGGACCCTGCGCCAAACCAACCTTTGAAAAGCCAATAAAAAGGAATCAGTTGAAAGGTCGGAAACTACTTCTAAATGAACGGCCTTGGACGCAAAACAAACAAATAAGGCAATGTAGGACTTATAGGGTGGCCTACCACGAATTTTCAATTTTCAATTTTTCAATGGGCGGAGAGCACGAATTCTATCTAAGGGTAAATCACCTATGATTTGAGTCATCAGACGAGGCTTGCATTTAAAGCAGCATATGCATGACCGTACTGTCTGACTGCAGACTTCCTGCGCATTTACGATCCATATGCGCTGTCGCAAAAGACTCACAAGTGCTCGTGGACCCACATGAAAATTAGCTCTGAACAAATTGAGAGCGTTTTGTTAACAATACTGGAAACTTGGCATCGTACGATATAGAAGCATTAGCTAGTCGCCCCCCAATCCGCAACAGCGAAAAGGTAAGCCTAGCCTCTGATGATTCGTGTAGAAAGGGATTTAGTTTTTGTAGACTAGGACTAACACTTAAATTTTTTCCGGATCTTTTCTATTTCATGTTGATACTCGTGCTCTTGGACTATTTCGACTATTTTCTTAAAGTCTTCATTATATTCGACAGGTGAGGGAACAATATCAGAATTCACTACTAATTTCTTCGATTTCCTTATAAAGCGGAACATATAAACGAACACTCGCAGCAGTTTTAGGTGAGAGGAATAACCTTCTATCACTTCCAATAAATCTGAGGTAGATACGATTGCTTAATCCGACAGCATTCTTTTTCGATTCTATCTGTAGAAGTTCTGGTGACAAATCAAACCGGGGGCTCGTCGGCCACGTATCTTCCGGTTCCTTTAAAAACGATGGTCCTGTAAACCAGATCGATTCTACAGTCTCCTTTACGTCTCCACCTCTGGACACTATATCTGCCGGGTTCTGTTTAGTTGGTACATGCCGCCACGTGCTATCATCTGAACACTCTTGAATTTCAGCTACTCTATTCGATACGAACGTTGACAACGACGATGGATGGGAACGAATCCAATGAAGAGTTACTTCTGAATCCGAATCCGGCCAGGAATGGGGCTGGCGCAGTGCCATATGTAACGGTGTTGAGCTTGCACAGTTTCAAGGACTCTGATGGGTCTTTCCTCCACACTATCAACTGGTATCACCTATCGGCTTAATTTACCATTACTTGGCGATACATCTTTTTTGTGTCGGCTATCAGAGGGAATCTGTTCAGCCGGAACCTAAGAAGAATTGAATACTTATGTGTTGATGTCTTACAAGACGCATCAAACACGACTCGTAATTTGGTCGATGTGCTTTGAGGCCGTAAGACACACTGAAGGGATATGACATAGTGTGGAGTAGTAAGAACATCATTGCTTGTAGGGGACATATGACCTTAGGATTCGTATTCTTCCATAAATTCCACATACATTTTCTTTAAATTCGGATCTCGAGATAATCTTCTCTCGAGCGACAAAAAACGGCGTTTGGCTACCTCGAACGAGTTTCCCAAAACGCTTGGATCCGATTTAAATGGAAGCCTGACTTCAAATCGACCTGAAGGCAATACTACTGTATTTTTCTGATAATGTTCCTCACATAACTCTTGTTCAGGTGACAAAAGCTTTTTGGAAGTTGGTACTTCTTCCAACGACCAGAATTTTTTCAAATTGCCATCTATCGACTCGAGTAATTCTTCTTGGCAATTCAGGCTAGAGACAGGCTGTTGAGGAGTTGAGGTATTTGCTTTATATTTTCCCGATACTATCCATCCAAGGAGAGTTTTTTGGAGAATGGGATGGTTTGGCCCTTGTTTTATTTGGCCAACAGACAACAGTTCAAAAAATGACTCAGGTCCAATTAACATGTCTATCCCCTGAGGTTGTAACGCTTTTTAATTCTAACGCTTACGACGACGTCGCTAACCAAACCCTTTCTAGAGATGACGCATGCAAAGCATGTGACGTAGAAGGGCCAACAAGATGTAGCGCTGGAGGAGGATGTTCATTTGGTGGTGGTACCGCCAAGTTATTTTCGCTCACAGTAAATTGGTGCAGAAGTTTGTGGGGCGATCTTGCACAAATTTGACACCTAGTCGATTTACACTTCGCAACCGTGTGACCTTTTCGCAGACAATTTAAACACAATGGGGCTGACTTGACAAACTCAAACCGTTGCATTACAGCAAGGCGAGCGAACGGACTACACTGGGCAAAACTATGATCTTGTGCGTTGCAATAACTGCAAGCTTGTTTGTTGGAAGCGGAGCAAGCCAAGGAACTCCTATTGTGCTGCTTCCCGAACCCAGTTTTCTCCTGTTTTGGCTTGCCAGTCTCTTCAGCGGACAGGTGCTGGTACCTACGATTTAATATTTTTTTGAAATCGGACCACAGCGGCAATTCCTCATAATCCAAAGACTCTTTCCATTTTTCTCTGGTCACTGGATCTACTCTACTCTGGAACCCAGTGTTCTCCTGTTTTGGCTTGCCAGTCTCTTCAGCGGACAGGTGCTGGTACCTACGATTTAATATTTTTTCGAAATCGGACCACAGCGGCAATTCCTCATAATCCAGAGACTCTTCCCATTTTTCTCTGGTCACTGGATCTACTCTACTCAAAACTAAGTGAATGATCATTGAGTTTGCAATTTTAGAGTCATCTCCTATGGATAATAGTGACCCATGACATCGATGACACTGTGTCGATGAGACCTCTCAACGACGACACAGACGGCTGGGAAACTTTCGGAAGGATAAATAATTTGCTTATTTGGTTCGCAAGAGCTCTCAA